ATGGTATGAAGAAGCAAGTTGTAGGTACACCGAGCATCCCTTAGGATGAATAGGTGGGTGATATCAAGAAAGCTAGTTGTAGGTACACCGAGCATCCCTTAGGATGAATAGGTGTGTGGTATGAAGGAAGCTAGTTGTAGGTTCACCGAGCATCCCTTAGGATGAATAGGTGTGTGGTATGAAGTAAGCTAGTTGTAGGTACACCGAGCATCCCTTAGGATGAATAGGTGTGTGATATAAAGGAACCTAGTTGTAGGTTCACTGAGCATCCCTTATGAAGGAACCTAGTTGTAGGTACATTGAGCATCCCTTTGGATGAATAGGTGTGTGGTATGAAGGAAGCTAGTTGTAGGTACACCGAGCATCCCTTAGGAAGAATAGGTGTGTGATATAAAGGAACCTAGTTGTAGGTACACTGAGCATCCCTTAGGATGAATAGGTGTGTGATATAAAGGAACCTAGTTGTAGGTACACTGAGCATCCCTTAGGATGAATAGGTGTGTAGTATGAAGGAAGCTAGTTGTAGGTACACTGAGCATCCCTTAGGATGAATAGGTGTGTGATATGAAGGAAGCTTGTTGTAGGTACACTGAGCATCCCTTAGGATGAATAGGTGTGTGATATCAAGGAAGCTAGTTGTAGGTACACCGAGCATCCCTTAGGATGAATAGGAGTGTGGTATGAAGGAACCTAGTCGAGGGTACACTGAGCATCCCTTAGGATGAATAGGTGTGTGATATAAAGGAAGCTAGTTGTAGGTACACCGAGCATCCCTTAGGATGAATACGTGTATGGTATGAAGGAACCTAGTTGTAGGTACACTGAGCATCCCTTAGGATGAATAGGTGTGTGATATAAAGGAAGCTAGTTGTAGGTACACTGAGCATCCCTTAGGATGAATAGGTGTGTGGTATAAAGGAAGCTAGTTGTAAGTACACCGAGCATCCCTTAGGATGAATAGGTGTGTGATATAAAGGAAGCTAGTTGTAGGTACACTGAGCATCCCTTAGGATGAATAGGTGTGTGGTATAAAGGAAGCTAGTTGTAAGTACACCGAGCATCCCTTAGGATGAATAGGTGTGTGATATAAAGGAAGCTAGTTGTAGGTACACTGAGCATCCCTTAGGATGAATAGGTGTGTGATATAAAGGAAGCTAGTTGTAGGTACACCGAGCATCCCTTAGGATGAATACGTGTATGGTATGAAGGAACCTAGTTGTAGGTACACTGAGCATCCCTTAGGATGAATAGGTGTGTGATATCAAGGAAGCTAGTTGTAGGTACACCGAGCATCCCTTAGGATGAATAGGTGTGTGATATAAAGGAACCTAGTTGTAGGTATACTGAGCATCCCTTAGGATGAATAGGTGTGTGATATCAAGGAACCTAGTTGTAGGTACACCGAGCATCCCTTAGGATGAATAGGTGTGTGGTATGAAGGAAGCTAGTTTAAGGTACACCGAGCATCCCTTAGGATGAATAGGTGTGTGATATCAAGGAAGCTGATGTAGGTACACCGAGCATCCCTTAGGATGAATAGGTGTATGGTATGAAGGAACCTAGTTGTAGGTACACTGAGCATCCCTTAGGATGAATAGGTGTATGGTATGAAGGAACCTAGTTGTAGGTACACCGAGCATCCCTTAGGATGAATAGGTGTGTGGTATAAAGAAAGCTAGTTGTAGGTACACCGGGCATCCCTTAGGATGAATAGGTGTGTGATATAAAGAAAGCTAGTTGTAGGTACACCGAGCATCCCTTAGGATGAATAGGTGTGTGATATAAAGAAAGCTAGTTGTAGGTACACCGGGCATCCCTTAGGATGAATAGGTGTGTGGTATAAAGTAACCTAGTTGTAGGTATTCTGAGCATCCGTTAGGATGAATAGGTGTGTGATATAAAGGAACTTAGTTGTAGGTACACCGAGCATCCCTTAGGATGAATAGGTGTGTGGTATGAAGTAAGCTAGTTGTAGGTACACCGAGCATCCCTTAGGATGAATAGGTGTGTGGTATGAAGGAACCTAGTTGTAGGTACACCGAGCATCCCTTAGGATGAATAGGTGTGTGGTATAAAGGAACCTAGTTGTAGGTACACCGAGCATCCCTTAGGATGAATAGGTGTGTGGTATGAAGGAAGCTAGTTGTAGGTACACTGAGCATCCCTTAGGATGAATAGGTGTATGGTATGAAGGAACCTAGTTGTAGGTACACTGAGCATCCCTTAGGATGAATAGGTGTGTGATATAAAGAAAGCTAGTTGTAGGTACACCGAGCATCCCTTAGGATGAATAGGTGTATGGTATGAAGGAACCTAGTTGTAGGTACACTGAGCATCCCTTAGGATGAATAGGTGTGTGATATAAAGAAAGCTAGTTGTAGGTACACCGAGCATCCCTTAGGATGAATAGGTGTATGGTATGAAGGAAGCTAGTTGTAGGTACACTGAGCATCCCTTAGGATGAGTAGGTGTATGATATGAAGGAAGCTAGTTGTAGGTACACTGAGCATCCCTTAGGATGAATAGGTGTATGGTATGATGGCACCTAGTTGTAGGTACACTGAGCATCCCTTAGGATGAATAGGTGTATGGTATGAAGGAACCTAGTTGTAGGTACACTGAGCATCCCTAAGGATGAATAGGTGTGTGATATAAAGGAAGCTAGTTGTAGGTACACTGAGCATCCCTTAGGATGATTAGGTGTGTGGTATAAAGGAAGCTAGTTGTAAGTACACCGAGCATCCCTTAGGATGAATAGGTGTGTGATATAAAGGAAGCTAGTTGTAGGTACACTGAGCATCCCTTAGGATGAATAGGTGTGTGGTATAAAGGAAGCTAGTTGTAAGTACACCGAGCATCCCTTAGGATGAATAGGTGTGTGATATAAAGGAAGCTAGTTGTAGGTACACTGAGCATCCCTTAGGATGAATAGGTGTGTGATATAAAGGAAGCTAGTTGTAGGTACACCGAGCATCCCTTAGGATGAATACGTGTAAGGTATGAAGGAACCTAGTTGTAGGTACACTGAGCATCCCTTAGGATGAATAGGTGTGTGATATCAAGGAAGCTAGTTGTAGGTACACAGAGCATCCCTTAGGATGAATAGGTGTGTGATATAAAGGAACCTAGTTGTAGGTATACTGAGCATCCCTTAGGATGAATAGGTGTGTGATATCAAGGAACCTAGTTGTAGGTACACCGAGCATCCCTTAGGATGAATAGGTGTGTGGTATGAAGGAAGCTAGTTTAAGGTACACCGAGCATCCCTTAGGATGAATAGGTGTGTGATATCAAGGAAGCTGATGTAGGTACACCGAGCATCCCTTAGGATGAATAGGTGTATGGTATGAAGGAACCTAGTTGTAGGTACACTGAGCATCCCTTAGGATGAATAGGTGTATGGTATGAAGGAACCTAGTTGTAGGTACACTGAGCATCCCTTAGGATGAATAGGTGTGTGGTATAAAGAAAGCTAGTTGTATGTACACCGGGCATCCCTTAGGATGAATAGGTGTGTGATATAAAGAAAGCTAGTTGTAGGTACACCGAGCATCCCTTAGGATGAATAGGTGTGTGATATAAAGAAAGCTAGTTGTAGGTACACCGGGCATCCCTTAGGATGAATAGGTGTGTGGTATAAAGTAACCTAGTTGTAGGTATTCTGAGCATCCGTTAGGATGAATAGGTGTGTGATATAAAGGAACTTAGTTGTAGGTACACCGAGCATCCCTTAGGATGAATAGGTGTGTGGTATGAAGTAAGCTAGTTGTAGGTACACCGAGCATCCCTTAGGATGAATAGGTGTGTGGTATGAAGGAACCTAGTTGTAGGTACACCGAGCATCCCTTAGGATGAATAGGTGTGTGGTATAAAGGAACCTAGTTGTAGGTACACCGAGCATCCCTTAGGATGAATAGGTGTGTGGTATGAAGGAAGCTAGTTGTAGGTACACTGAGCATCCCTTAGGATGAATAGGTGTATGGTATGAAGGAACCTAGTTGTAGGTACACTGAGCATCCCTTAGGATGAATAGGTGTGTGATATAAAGAAAGCTAGTTGTAGGTACACCGAGCATCCCTTAGGATGAATAGGTGTATGGTATGAAGGAAGCTAGTTGTAGGTACACTGAGCATCCCTTAGGATGAGTAGGTGTATGATATGAAGGAAGCTAGTTGTAGGTACACTGAGCATCCCTTAGGATGAATAGGTGTATGGTATGATGGCACCTAGTTGTAGGTACACTGAGCATCCCTTAGGATGAATAGGTGTATGGTATGAAGGAACCTAGTTGTAGGTACACTGAGCATCCCTTAGGATCAATAGGTGTGTGATATGAAGGAAGCTAGTTGTACAATGTAGGTACACTGAGCATCCTTTAGGATGAATAGGTGTGTGATATGAAGGAAGCTAGTTCTAGGTATAACGAGCATCCCTTAGGATGATTAGGTGTGTGGTATGAAGGAAGATAGTTCTAGGTACACTGGGCATCCCTTAGGGTGAATACGTGTGTGGTATGAAGGAAGCTAGTTGTAGGTACACCGAGCATCCCTTAGGATGAATAGGTGTGTGATATGAAGGAAGCTAGTTGTAGGTACACCGAGCATCCCTTAGGATGAATAGGTGTGTGGTATAAAGGAAGCTAGTTGTAGGTACATCGAGCATCCCTTAGGATGAATAGGTGTGTGATATGAAGGAAGCTAGTTGTAGGTACACTGAGCATCCCTTAGGATGAATAGGTGTGTGATATGAAGGAAGCTAGTTCTAGGTACACTGGGCATCCCTAGGATGAATAGGTGTGTGGTATGAAGGAAGCTAGTTCTAGGTACACTGGGCATCCCTTAGGATGAATAGGTGTGTCATATGAAGGAAGCTATTCTCATCATTCCAAAATAAAACAAATTAAACATTGATCAAAATGTGTGTTCATACCCTAATGCCAAGCACATAATAATATCCCACTAACGGCAACACATAATCACAAATGAGTATGAGAAACTTACAGGAACTCTGAAATTGCCTTGAGCTTGTACAACCTTCAGAGTGGCATGATAATTCGAGATACATAAACAGAAATGAGGTAACTGATGTTTGATGATGATACATTGCTGACAGACGGAAGGATTCCCCCAGAGGGAAAAAAAACTCAATAAATCGATTGATCAATATACATTGATTGACAATAGAGAGACAATATCCCTGACACATTACATTTGATTATAGAAGCCTAGATGAAAATGACACCAAAGCCAGAAACCTTCAGCTTGTTTTATCATCAACTAGTCTCACACAACATGATTTCAGATGTGCAATGCTCCATGTGTCCACTGATAATGTTGTAGCTTTTCTGGTGTTACTGTTATCGTTGATCTGAATGACATGCTATAACCCGTTGACTACTGCACTCTCACATTGCCCATAGGTTTTATACAGGAGCAATCCAGTTCCAGTAGACAACAGTTTACTGTTGTTATTGTTGTTGATTTGAATGACATGCTTTGAAAGTGCCAAAGCTTATGAAAGCTAAAGCAACAGTGGCAATAGCATAACACAACATGGCATTGCACTGCACAATATATGTTGTGTAAGACCATTGCAATAAGAGCGTGATATGGAAGTGAATTTCCTGACGAGTAAAGCTTTTAATTAGTAAAAGCATTGGAATAGCATTGAAATTTAGGACTAAAGGATAGTTTCCTGAAGCAGCATCTTTGCATAACTTCCCTTAAAGCCAGACATAACCAGGGGGGTGTTTCACAAAACTTGTCATCGGTGACAAATGACAGTTTTTGTTATAAGCTACTGAAATCCTTGCTTCTGATCGGTTATCAGCAGGTTTGTCACTGGTGTTTGTAATTTGTCATTGAAAAAAGGGTTTGTGAAACGGGTCCTAGTTCAATTGTTTACAGACAGACTCCTATGCTTAAAGCTTGTAACTTCTTTTTGCATAGAAAAGATGCCAAACAAAACCATTCCACCTTGTGCAGGAAGCTATTGAAAAAGCTGATTACATCAATTAAAGACTTTATATACAATGCCTTGTATAATTTGTCACGAAATACATTTTATGTTTTGCATTATGAAGTGATCAGCGAAGCAAGTAACACACCACAGATAAAGCAGTGGAAATGTTCAATGTCATCTGAAAGCAGAAAGGTGTTTAATATCTGTGTGCAAAAGGGCATGACTTAATGCCCTTCTTGCTGTTAAGAGATAAAGCATTGGACATTACAGAAGCAGCATTATTGGTGTTTGCATGGACTTTCACATTTCCCCGCTGAAGCAGATCTTGGCAAGGTCCTAATTTCAATATCAAATTTTTGTTAGATATTTCAAAAATATTTTGCCGAAATAAATGAGCCAGTTCTTGCCTTTTTGGTGGAGTCCTTATCCCGAAGAACCTGCAATATTCAGTTAAAAATATCTCAAGCAATTTCCTAATTGGACATTTTTTTAAAACTAATTCCAAAACAATTTTTTTTTTCTCCATTCAAAGTGCAGACACTATCCACATCTTCAATATCAATTATAACCAGAGACATAATAACGTAATTAAGATTAAATATTTCTATTCAAGGAAAGAATGCCTCATTAAATTTCTTTTTGATTTGTTTAATTAGGGCTCACTATTTGGTTGCCAGTCACAGTATATAGAAATAATTAAATTTGGTTTTCCCACAAATTGACGATTCCTGAAAGGGGATCATAATTCTAGGTGGTTTGACAGTCCATTTTCATTGCCCGGACAGTTTGGTGACCACTCACATCAATTAATGTCTCTACCCTTTCTTCATCCACAATGACTCAATATTTGTTTGTTTTTTCTTTGTATAATTATGGGCATTAAAGGAAAAGGATTACACTACTACATTTCTTAATGAATGCTGCCCTCTACGGTCTGCATCTTACCCTGTCCTTGGCATCTCTTGACTTGTCCTTGATCTTGCCGTATAGCTCACTGCTCTTGGCTTTGGCCTGCCCGAGACGTCTCCGGATACCCTCTTGTATCTTAGAACCTGAGGGCAGAAACCATGGCAACAACAATTAATATGAATCCTCCTCAACCTGATCAGGATCGAAACAGATAATATTCCTTTCTAAAAATATCTATGGTACATCATATGAAACAGAGATTACTTCCTAATGGTCAATGTGATTGATCCTCCTGCAGAGGGCGCTGCTCTTTGTTTTGACCCAGAGCCATCTATACACAGAGTTTAGCCAACCCTGTTTGAGTTGGACACAATATGGCGACTGCTGTTTTGTTGGGCAAGCACAAAACAAAGAATATACCCCATGTTGTGACCCAGTAAAACCAAGGTGGTCAAACTCTGTGTATAGATGGCTCTGTTTTGACCTGAAGAAGATATCCCCTTGTGTCATCTTATATTTTAGAACCTGATGAAAAAAAACCATGGTTACAATGATCAAATCAACACATTTTTAATCATCTGCTCATGACTGAAAGTTAGAAAGCTCATGCTCAAAGCTGGAAGGGGTTGTCTATATGATATCTAATCATGACATTTGGAAATGACAACAAATTACCCCTCCCCGCACCAACAACAAAAACAAAAAAACATTTCTGCTTTCTTTCTTCGCCATATCTTTCCATGTAATCTTCGGTATTCCTTTCCCTCTTACGCCATCCACTTTCAGATCCCATGCTCTTTTAAGAGGCACATCATCTTCCCTTCTCAACACATGACCCATCCATCTCAATCCACTTCTCTTTACCAGTTCCACCTGTTTCTTCCAGACCCAACCTTTCCATGAGCTCATTCGTGTTCTATCTATCAGACAGTTTCACATTACACATCTTCTGTATCATGGCTCTTTCTGTTCTCCTCAAGATAATTTCTTCTATTGTCTTCACAATGCCATAGTTCAAGATCAGTTTTAACATTCTGCCTCCCTCACCTGATGCTATGCGACTGTCCAGCTCTTCCTCGAAGAGATCGTCAATGGCTTCATTCTTATTCAATGCGTCTACTCGAAACTCAACAAACTACAAATAGAGAATACAATACAGACATGTATGGGTCACATATTTGAATTTTGTACATACACCAATGCACATCCACAAGAACATATACTTTGAATTGCACTGTCAGCTACATGTACATTTGAATGAAAGTCCAGAATTCAGTAAAGTATTGGAAGAATCTAGAGTACACCAGATATATTGTCAAAGCCCTGTTGGAAGTTTATGTATGAGAAATGATCACATTCGTACAACGTGCATTTGCATGGTATTTCAACAAGCTGAGTGCTTGTTTATATCATTCTATTTGGAGCACAACATTCCTTTTCTTGCTGCTGGTCACATGGGACAACTGTAGAGGACAGCGTTTCCTAACTTTGAGGAGGTGAAGAAGTTTCAGTGCAAGACCAAAAACTACTTGTCTCGTTTATGAAATGACCAAAGGTGAACAAGTTTCCATCCATGCTACTTGTCAAGGATAGGAGAAGACAAACACAGTGCTACTGATGCCTTGGAAGGCCAGGGGAGTGTTTCACAAAGACTAAGATCGGCTTTTAGTTCGACTTAACTATGGCAGGCCGTTCATGCCACAGTTTGCTCTCACCGTTCACAGACACTGATAACACGTAGGACCATGAATCTCAGATTTAACATTGTTAAACGATGCCTTTAAAGGACCTCTATTCAAATAAGAATTTAAAGTCAATGAAGAATCAATAAGGACTCATCACCAAGGCTCAGTAGACATGACCTTGCTCCATGCTATTGAGATACATCAACAACATTTCTCTCATTACTAATTGAACATTTCAAATGTTGGCAGCTCTAAATTGTTTATTTCCCCTTAGATTTTCTCCATTGGGGTCATCACAAAGGTTCACAAACTTAGGTAAGCAATGGGTAATCTGTGGATATTATATAAAGATGCCCTTAGAAGGTGTGAATGAATCCTACCTGTGCAAAGTGTTGCAACTGAAGCACCGCATTCCTGAATGGTAGTTCATGTTTGGAACCATTAGTTACAAATACATCCCTGTCAAATACAATTTCTCCATTCTGCAAAAACAAACAAAAACAAAAAAATACAAGATAGTTTTAAACAGTATCAAAGAGATGACATGTGAGTTCACGGGCTTACAATGAAGGCATAGAAAAATCAACTTTGACTACAGCAAATCTTTAAGTTACATTTATATCATCAGTGAACGTTTTCCAAAAAATTGAACTTTCCAATGAAACTTTCCAAATTTTTGTTTTGGTTTTGTTTATGTCTAAAAATAATATAATTATAGTTATAGTTGAGAAGTAGAAAGGAAAACAAATTATGCCCCTCCCCCACTCTCTTCAATCTAACAACCTATACAAAAAGACTGTTTGGATTGTAAGACTAACTTTGTTTTAAGGCCTGTCAGCACTAGTTTAGCCAGGAGGGATTAGACCTCCCTGCAAGGTCACTGACAGGTGGTTATCTCACCAAATCAGATCTCAATTAACATCAGAAAAAGGGGATCATGGGGACCAACGGGTACGGCTTAGGCATTGTTTGCTATATAGAGGGTGCCAAGTCGCTACAAGTAGTGCAGTCCTGCTTTAAATAAAGTCAGAAGCACCAGCAGCCGGGATTTATCACATTTTACCCCCCAAACATCACTATTTCAATGTGTTTATTAAGAGCATATGAATCTGTTTTATCCTTATCCTAATCCATCTTCCTCCCCCCCCCCCCAAAAAAAAAGCAAGGACAAGAATGTGTAGGTACCTCTAACGTGAGTGCCTCTCTATAGGTACCAAGGAGGTAGACCAAAGTCTTGAGGAAGGCGCGGGCTACCCCGTCTCCGCTCACTTGACTGGAATTCTTGAGGTTGTGTTTCAGCTGCGTAACCTAAATAAGAAGACAATATTTTCAGTGTCATGTACAACAAAACCTAGATGAATAGTCAAAACCTAACATGATGATAATAATAATAATAATAGTGATTTCTTGTAAAGCGCTCATGTCTGTAAGACTCGACACTCCTGGCGCTCCCGATTATTACCCTGGCTTTAGCACGGCTGCCATCACGGCGCTCTAGCATTTCAAGGAATTAATTCCTGCCAGGTACCCACTTACATCACCTGGGTTGAGTGTGGCAAATGTAGATCAGTGTCTTGCCAAAGGACATTAGTGCCGCAGCGGGACTCGAACCGCGGACCTTGTGATCGACAGTCCAGTGACATATCCACTCGACCACAACACCTCTAGGATAAAGACCCCCAGTCTGCAAGGCAATTTCTTTTAAATCCCTTGAACAGTGATTCTTACAGAAACCTGTCATAACCTGCACATTTATTATGACTATTATTTATCTTATTTTTTGTCTCTGTTGACAATATTTCTGGTTCTCAATGAGCGGTAGGTATAAATGGATTTAACTGTGTATCAAAAGATTTCTTCATATTTGAAATATCTATCAATGTACAACCACTGAATAAATAATTAATAAACAAAAGCTGAATTTAAACAATCTTTGAGAATGGCAGCCCACTTCCTTTGGAATACACATATGTGTCACAATTCATCAGACAGAAGACATATTTCTTTTCTAATATGTCAAAAATGTTCATACATTAAGTTTGGCTCAGTCATTCCATGCATTCCAATTTGAAAATTGAAACCGTACAATAACATGTACTGAAAATTTGTCTTCATACCACAAATTATTTTATTTTTCAATGAATTTAATTTGTATGAATCTGGTGGAATGAATCATTAGTAAAATGGAAAGCAGTCCTGGGGGTGTTTCACAAAGACTAAGATCGACTTTAAGTTGGACTTAACTATGGCAGGCTGTTCATGCTACTATTTGCTCTCACCACTTACTGGCAATGGTCTCTAACAGGGACGAACCGATACAAATCATGGTCACACATCTACAGAATTTAATTTTTCTAAAGATCATAATTGAGAGACGAATGGTGAGAGCAATCAGTGGTATGAATGGCCTGTCATATTTAAGTCCAACTTAAAGTCGATCTTAGTCTTTGTGAAACACTCCCCAGAGCCAAATGCCAATCTCTGTGCATTAGTCAGACTTACTGCTTCAGATGGAAGTACTTGTAAATCATTGAATGGTGTTTCTATGGAGTTATTGTCAGCATCAAGTATCACCACTTCGTCTAAGGCCATCCGCTTTACTTGCTGCAATTGGGAGGAGAAAGAAGATATTGTGAAAATCTTTTATATGCAGATGATGCTGATAGACATCCCACACACTTCCCTCACTCCACCTACATCACTGCTCAGAGGGCATTCCATGAAGATGGTAGTTCCTTTTGCCCGAACGCTGGTCTACCAGAGGAGCTTCTTCCCGGATGCTATAAGACTCTGGAACTGCCTCCCTCAGAATGCCGTTAATTGTACCTCTGCTAACACCTTCAAGCTAGAGGTACAAAAGACCCAGCTCCGCTAAAATGGTAGCTGTTTTTACTCGCACTCAGTCAACTGTACCTAGCTATTATCAGACATTGTACACACATCTGCACTGCACCTCAACAGTACGAAAATACACCTGACGGTGGCCTGTACTGCTACTGAAGAAGAAGATACAAACTTGATATTCAGTAACAAAGATACAAACAAACTTGAAGGTATTTTTAACCCATCCCACTTTAAGCAATTCTGAAAATATATTCCATAAATTGCATAAATGGAGTATCATTTTAAAGCCAAAGGGGATTAAACAGACTTTTAAATAATACTTTTTAATAATCCAGAAGTGGTTCTGGACAAAAAGACACTAAGACATTTATTCTTTTTTTAACCCAAAACTTCCTGTTAGTGAAAGCCTGTAAACATGAACTCCTGGAAACCAATCCTGTATGGCATCAGCTCCTGCTCTGTGGAATTCTCTACCCATAACAATTAGGAATATATCTTCTCTTGTCTAGGATTTTGTTTAGAATCTGAGGCAAAGATACCTAACCCTAAAGAAAGGCCTTAAGGTGTATCTTTTTCTATAGGAGTGTTTCTATTTTTCTGTATTAAGTCTATGTTCTCTCAGTTTATTATCTAGGATCAATGGATAATTCAGTTGATACCTCTCTTTAGTATGTTGAATAAATCTAGTCATCTGATAGGTCGAAATTGGAGTCGTGATTGTAGCCATGTCCGCCTACCAGTCAACATTTTATTTTAAAGATGCCCATTGCCCTAGGTAACGAACGGGCCACATAAATCAATTTTGCTGAGATCCCCATTGGTTTACGTGTAAAAAGTTTCTTTGAGCGAGCCCAGATACCCTACAGTGCTTTTTGTCTGCGATTCTCGAACGATCAAAACATTATGGCAACTGTTCAGCAAATTTACAGACAGTGTCTTTACTTAAGAAAAGGATAAGGTAAGAATTCTTTGTAGATTTATTTGTGAATTCGGTATATAAAAGATATATCGACTGCTGTAACATTCCAAGCATAGCCGTTTCTATACTGGCTCTCAGGACCGCCCCGGCGCCTATAGAAACAGCGAAGCCTCTCATAGCAGTCAATATATCTATACTATACAAATTTAACTTTATTATCTTTATTACAAAACACTACTCTACCACAGAACCGACACGTTTCCTTCACCTCCTTGCCCTTTCCAACTTACAGCTACAGACCCGTGTGCACCCCCCCCCCCCCCACCTAACCCAGACTACGCCACTGTATACAGACCTCCATGAATGATGAATGTACTCCTATGATGAAGGGCATCGGTGCTGAGCAGTAGTCGATGAGATGGGATGGAGTTACAGGAATGTAGATATGCTGCCAATGGAGGGGGTATAGCATCGATACCGCACCGTAGACACACGCTGTTAACTGCAATGTTAAGATGAATAGAGTGGTGAAGTGTGACGTCCTTAAAAATGTATTTTTAGAATTTCGACATTCAGACATTATTTTTGATGCTCTTTTGGAAAATGAAGAAATAATTGAGAAATTCTAAAAAATAGATTTTTATGTCACAGCTTCGGTACTCTATAGAGTGAACAAGGTACAACTATATTTGATATTGATTAGCTGCTTCAAGACCTTCAAAATAGCTATAGTGTCCTATCAGCTGTTTTTTTCTTTCTTAGACAGAATTATATGTGGTCAACAATTCGCTATATCCAGTTTAGCAAAGAATATAGAGTAGTCATATAGTTTAACATTATGCAGAACATTTATGAACACATTACATTATGTCTGCTAAAAGCAGGAAGGGTATCAACTCAAATCTGTAAACATAACAAACTGTAGGCTTATGTCTTTCTGGCTCGCAGTATATATGTGCCAGTTTGAGCACATAATCTCCTTCATTTCATTAAAAAAAAGAGTTATTTGCTCAATCTTACCCTGTGTAATCTCTCAGATGTAATAAGGACTCGTCTCTCATGTAATAAACTGCAGAAAATAGCAACAAAAATGAAAATATGAACCATTATTCCTTGTATCACAAAATAATTTTCCTATTTTATTTAACTACAGTTTTGTGTGTAGTACTACATTTTTAAAAATCACACACAAAATATTTCTAATACTTTGGTTTCTTTCATGCATTTACCACATTGAATGTGATCATTTGTTGTTTAACTTGTCTATTTTACAGTATTTTATTCTTTATTTTATGCGATCAGGCATCTTTCTCTTTTTTTTGGGGGGGGGGGGGGGGCGAGGGGGGCGAGGGGGTAGATCACAGTATAGGATACCAAAGATGCCAAATTCATAATACTACTTCCAATGAACATATGTACTTGTAATTCTTTACACTTTCTTGAAATTTATAAACCCCACCTCCAAAAAATAATAAGCCAATTTTGAGATACATGTAGTGAATGTACAAATGACCCCCAAATATCTACAGAACTTTTAAACATGGATAATTCCAACTTTGTTTACTGCCAAAGTGACAGAGGCACTTCATGAATACCTTTTTTTTCCCTCTTGAAAAAATACCTACAGCTGTGCATCATAGAAAGTACTGTCCATGCATAGTTGAACAATGATTAAATAAATATCATGAACACGTATCCAGCATTCGTCTCAATGGGTTTTACAGTTTTGTACAAATCGAGGGGTCAGTGACACAAAGACATAACTCCATTTTTACCATTTTGAGAAAAAGTGGTTTATGTATCACTGAGCACTTGGGCCTTAAGCAGTTAAGTCTATGTTTCACTAGCCATTGACTTCAATGGGGTGTTGTGTGGAGTTAAGTCTGTGTTTCCTGGAAAGCCCACATTTTTCTGAACCTTTTGGTATCAAATACTCATTTTGGCAAAATATGGAGTTAGTCTTTGTGTCACTGAACCCTCAAAATGAACTTTATCTGTCAATGTGCAGATAGTATCTCTGATGTTCTTGCTGTTTCTTATCACTGTATCTATATCATTTAATAAGAATTTGAATGGATTAAAATCATTCCATACCTAACAAACAGGATGATCATATTTTCTGGAGTTATAGCACTGAAATACTCTGTCATGTTTATCTGTAAAGAATAAAAACAATGAAACAATCAGTCCTATCATTTCTAATTGTTCAAATTTTAATTCTAAATGATGGCTCTGTATACTTATATTTCTTAGTAAACATGGTGCACATTTCATAGTTTTAAGGATTTTACCACATGTTTAAAGGAATACACTGCACTATGCCACTCGACTTTGTCTTGGGGCACACTACAGTGGGCAATAGTTTCACTGAGCCCCTCAAAGCAGTCAATATTTGTATATATAAAACAATAGACAAGCTGTAATCAACAATAGCAGACAAGTTCAAAGTTATGGATCTTCAGAAACTTCAGTTTAAGAAAATACATAACTGTTCCCCCAACATAATAATGCAGACATGGAAAGCAACTTACATTTTCAGGAATACTAGGCAAGATTCTATAACTATTCCCCAACATAATACGGCAGACATGGAAAGCAACTTACATTTTCAGGAATACTAGGCAAGATTCTATAACTATTCCCCAACATAATACCGCAGACATGGAAAGCAACTTACATTTTCAGGAATACTAGGCAAGATTCTATAATTATTCCCCAACATAATAACGCAGACATGGAAAGCAACTTACATTTTCAGGAATACTAGGCAAGATTCTATAATTATTCCCCAACATAATAACGCAGACATGGAAAGCAACTTACATTTTCAGGAATACTAGGCAAGATTCTGTAACTATTCCCCAACATAATAACGCAGACATGGAAAGCAACTTACATTTTCAGGAATACTAGGCAAGATTCTATAACTATTCCCCAACATAATACCGCAGACATGGAAAGCAACTTACATTTTCAGGAATACTAGGCAAGATTCTATAACTATTCCCCAACATAATAACGCAGACATGGAAAGCAACTTACATTTTCAGGAATACTAGGCAAGATTCTATAACTATTCCCCAACATAATACCACAGACATGGAAAGCAACTTACATTTTCAGGAATACTAGGCAAGATTCTATAACTATTCCCCAACATAATACCACAGACATGGAAAGCAACTTACATTTTCAGGAATACTAGGCAAGATTCTATAACTATTCCCCAACATAATACCACAGACATGGAAAGCAACTTACATTTTCAGGAATACTAGGCAAGATTCTATAACTATTCCCCAACATAATAACGCAGACATGGAAAGCAACTTACATTTTCAGGAATACTAGGCAAGATTCTATAATTATTCCCCAACATAATAACACAGACATGGAAAGCAACTTACATTTTCAGGAATACTAGGCAAGATTCTGTAACTATTCCCCAACATAATAACGCAGACATGGAAAGCAACTTACATTTTCAGGAATACTAGGCAAGATTCTATAACTATTCCCCAACATAATACCACAGACATTGAAAGCAACTTACATTTTCAGGAATACTAGGCAAGATTCTATAATTATTCCCCAACATAATAACGCAGACATGGAAAGCAACTTACATTTTCAGGAATACTAGGCAAGATTCTATAACTATTCCCCAACATAATACGGCAGACATTGAAAGCAACTTACATTTTCAGGAATACTAGGCAAGATTCTATAACTATTCCCCAACATAATAACACAGACATGGAAAGCAACTTACATTTTCAGGAATACTAGGCAAGATTCTATAACTATTCCCCAACATAATAACGCAGACATGGAAAGCAACTTACATTTTCAGGAATACTAGGCAAGGTTCTATAACTATTCCCCAACATAATAACGCAGACATGGAAAGCAACTTACATTTTCAGGAATACTAGGCAAGATTCTGGTGTCATCTGGGCAAGTGTGAAGCATTTCCTAAAATACAAAGGTAAAAAAACAATCCAACAAAAATATATCAATAAATGTAGGTTGTGACTACACTAGAACCAGAAAATTACTGGTGAATGCTCTTTCCACAGCAATTAACTTTGTGAACTGCAAATGGAAGAGAAAATACAGTGTGTGATTCATTATTTCACAGATTGAAAGTTTCATGAATCTGGAATAGTCTTGCATGTCTTGCACACATTGCATTTTCTTTTCAGCGTAGGTAAAAGAAAAGTAAATCAAAGAACAAAGAGCCCAATTTTTCAAAATCACACAATAGTACTATTATCCTTAGTAAAAAATACTCCATTAGTAAAAAGGATCAATATTCAGTTACCAATTCCCTCAGATAGGACTTAAAGCAGGTAGTAGATGGCTGCTCTACTGAGAAGCATAAACTTACATTCCTAGCAGTCATAGATAAAATAAACTTAAGCATCGAAATTCATACTACCGGTAACCATTATTATCATTATATGTGATTAATTGGGTGTGGAAAATTATAAGTTGTAACATTTTCTAGATATTACACACTTTGTAGAAGATTTAGCTTGCATCTTCCATTTTATCAATCCGTTTATTTTTCTTCTTGTCTTTCCTCTCTCTTCCAATTTTCTTGTACAAATGTTGGTAAGCATTTTTTGTTTTCTCAAACATATATATCTTTCTTTAATAGTTAATACTTCATACAAAAGCTTTTGGCTTTCTTGAAAACATTTGTTCACCAAATAATATACCTGTACGAATGAACAAAAATACATATCTTTCAAACTTTGGTAAAAATTTGATGACAAGATTTTTACTAAACGAGTAGATGTATGAGCTTACTGATGTATTGCCACCTTCGCTCACTGTGATTCTGAGTTGCTTGCCCGGGCCGGGTACTTTGACTTTATGGAGTTGTTCCAAGAGGGCGGTAGCAGCAGGCTCACAACTAGTTTTCAGACTAGCAAGCTTGTTGAGAACTTTGTAGAAGATGTCAAACCATGGCAAGTAGCTTTGTCAAAAACATGAGGAAATTAAACAAGAATTTATTTCAAAAATATTTGATTAAAAAAGTATTGTACAGACCTTTCCATGATTTGTTTGGAAGATGTTTCATAGGTCATCTACATACATGTATAGTGTTGCAGTACACTGTTTCCCCAAAACACAGAATAAGTATTATAATGACTTTGAGGGCTTATTGAGAAATCAATGTTTTTAGTATATTAAGCCAGTTCATAGTTGCAGTCTGAGCATGAGCAGATAAAGGTCACTGCAGACCAAATTGTGAAATACACAAGCATTGCACTCCATGATACACAGGTGGAAGTATTCTTTGAAAAGGGGAAACAAAAGCTATATGTAGCACCTCCATCGCTGTAGGAGTGATTATTTTAAAATGTACAAAGTGGGAACTCTTACCTGTGTAGAAGATCTGTGGATATTAGGGGTCATTTGGGACATGTGCTAACCATGAACTGATCTATTAATTGCACTGGAATGTGCCATTCAGAATATCCTGTTGTCCTTAATTGGCCCACCGGTATGTACTTTACATGTGTACTGTATATGTTTACAAAAAGCAGATGAGTGATGAGTGCATGCAGTTTTGCAAGAGTTTGCATTTACCATTAATATGCTTATTTTGACTTTGCATAAATTGTTCTAATTTTGTATTTGTACATGTGGAATTAATTACCATCACAAATGTATGGTAAGGGTTGATCCAACTAGCTATTCAAAAAGGAAATGAAGCATCCCTTATACAAATAATGCAGAGGGGATGTCAGAAAATGGCTCTTAATTTCCATCCAAAAATATGGGAAATTACTCTTTGAGTAAATTTGAGCAAGGGGCAGACTTATACTTACAGTACTCTTTTTTGAGGGGGAGGGATATATCTGTAAAACGCTTAGAGACGTCCGAGATGTATTAAGCGCTCTATATTAAAAGATGAATATTATTATTTTTATCATTTGATGATGTACCTGAGAATGCAGATTGCAGTCTTGGCTCCAGGCGGATGTCGACAGAAGCCAAATCTTTGTAAATTGTCCATCCCAGTCAGAACAAATGTGAAGAGCTGACCGGCTGGGTTGTACCTACAAGGGGCAAAAAAAATGATAATGTTCAAATTATTTCTTCCATTTTTGAGTACATACAGTACCTCTTTACAGAGTATTATCGTACTATACTGGGGTGTGTGCAGGTGGACCACTACACCGGGTTTCCCCCTACTCTTATACGAATAATGCAGTGGGTTCTTAACGTGCAAAGGTAGTGACTCTTCTCTACACGGGGCCTCCTTTCAACGTCCTATCCGAGGGACGGAGTGTTAACACTTAACATAGCCTGCATCTATGAACAAGGGGAAGGGCACGTTAACACACAACGCAGGCTTTTTTGCCCTTGTACCGGTACATGTATAGATCACAACAGGCTGCTTGACATAGGTATTTCATTAATACTTCAAATGTTTTTCATGGTATGGATGAAACTACAACTGATTCCTTTGTTTTTTTGTAGCACTGCATTTTTTCATCAAAATAAATCATGTCAAAAATCTAGAGAGAGGCAACAGATCAAACAGTTACTATGGCGCTGGTGAAGTAAGAGAAATAGGTGAAGAGGAGAAACAGCTAGGCACTGAAAATATGTGCATTGTTATAGGACATCATCTGTTTTAATTTGGTTCCTTGAGTGACGTCACAAATCTTGGCAGTGTTCAGAGAGCTTTCCAAGTGGGAGAGGGGCGGGGCGGTATTTTTCCATTTTAAAATTGATAATAATCGTTACTTTGAATGTTTCCAAGTTAAAAATTTTGATAGCCTTGTCCGATCTAACCTTCCCTTTATGCAATGATACGAATTTCATCAATATTTGAAATCAATGCACCTGAAGTTAACAAGAAATTAGCACTAGAAGTGTACAACAAACCAATTCATTAAAAATTAATGCAATGGTGTTTGAAGGTACGCGTAGCTTTCTTTCCTATAGTTGTATGTCTACAGTTTATACTCTACTCCATTCTTTTCTTATAAAGTGAAACCTGTACATATAAAGGTAGCAAAAGGGAAACATGAAAAGTGGTTTTCATAGGCAGGTGGTCTTTATGTACAGGTTCCTTTAGTACAGGGTTCAATAAGAAACCATATGCAAGAGAAATGGAAAAATGTGGTCTTGATAGACAGGTGGTCTTTCTATACAGGTGGATGCTAAAGCAGTTTTTACTGTACATGTCCACAGATTTCAATTATTTAGTCAATCATTATACATTACTCAGTGTATACATACACTAATTATTGATATATCAGGCAAACTCCAGCAAGATATTTTCTATTTAGGTATCAGATCACACATTGCTATATAATGCATAAACATGTATGTTTGAGCACATATAGAGAGTCAACTGGTATATTACATGTATATGTGTATCATAGAATTTTCTTCCCATATAATTAAATAAGTGCTTCTGTCAATAATTTTAGACCCTTTTGCCAAAATCATCAATTCTGAGGATTTGTTTCCTGAATGACTTCAGAGACTGCCTAAATAGGATTTAAAGGATGAATTTCAGATCATATTTACAAGGTTACAGCAATGCACTAATCACCTAGTCTGCAAGCACAGACTCTGATTCTAATTTGACACGTTACCACAATACCTATAGGCTTGAGCAGAGAATAGCTCTGTTTAGTCTCTGTATGGAGTAGGTCCATGGCCTCTGGATAGCTGTTTAAGTCAGGAGCAGCTAATTAAAAGTACAGACCATATAGCGTGCAGTAGACTGTGCCGTCAGTATAGTGTCTTTGTTTTATGGACACTATTACAGTACGTACAATGCTTGACAAGGGTTTGAGCTTGCAAACTATTTAATCACCAACTTGATCAAACCATATTCCTTGATCAGTTATTTTACGGTGCATGAAGATGATCAGCTCAAATGTATACATGTACATTATACATGTATTTGTTGAGTGACGGATGAGGAAATAGGGAGCAGAAAATGCATGTAGGATTCAACGAACAAAGTCTTTAGCTTCATATTTCTTGCTATTGATAATGTACAGGTACAGTGCATGTACATGCAGACACACAACATTTCCTGGGTATTCTTACACCATTTAATTTGCAGCATGAAAAAATCAATGTGCACAGTGAAAAAAATGTGAAAGATTCTATTAAGTTTCTAAAATATATTTTTCTGGAGTCTCTTTTCCTTGTTTACTTTCTGAGGTATCTGATCAAATGATCACAGGGAAATCGGATTCAAGAATGTTAGATTTAGGGGTTTGAGCTCGATCCCCCCCCCCCCCTTAAAATTAATCTGCACAATAATGTTACGTCTTATTATTTTTTAGGGGAGGGGGGCTTTTCTGAGAGTATAGGGATCGAGGAAGTAGCTAGGGGGAAAAAATTCTCTCTTTCCCCCTTTGTAGTAGGGTACATTTATGTACATGTACAGTATGTACCTATATATGTAAAATTGCATGTTTTACTTGTACAAAAAGTACACAGTAGTAGTAGTTGTGTACAGCTAGTAAAAACATACAAATACATATTGGCTTTGAAGTTTGTAATGAGCTCTATTGATAAGCTCCCTGGGCAAGTGATCTGTGAATAGATTAGTCATTCTAACCACATGTTTGGCAATTAGGAAGCGTATGGGGAAAGTAATATCCATCCAACATGGATTTCCTGAGCTGGAGAATGTATATCTTCAATGAGCTGACTGACTGTAAGAAGGCATGAAGAGTAATTACTATTGGTCAGTGGTAGTAACAGCGTCCTTATAGGCCTGTCTTAACTATCTCAAGATTACCAAATATCCAGCTATTTAAACCGTCCTGATTGCAAACTATCCAGCTAATTTGCGTCTTCATCAGACCGAAGTAGCAATTAGCGGGATATTTGGTTGGAATTGTCATCCCAAGATATCTTGGGATAATTTGCAAAATATCCAGCTATTTGTCCTGTGCATCTTCACTAGGCCGAAAAACTTGCACTATGCACTAACGCTGAGCAAAATATCTCGAGCTAGTTTCTCAAGGTAGAGTTTCAAGTTTCGAGGTCGAATCTCGAGCTGATGAAGACGCGATTTGTAACTTCGGGATTATTTCCCAAATCAGAAATAGCTGGCTATTTGGCAATCTCGAGATGATGAAGACGCGCCTCTTGAGTGCCCGGCGCTGTATTAATAAAGGATTATACACCATGATGCACAGAGTGACCTTGAGAACACTCAGGACTAAAAATCCTATATTAAGAATAATAATGATACAAATAATAATATGTCTTGTCGGGAGTAATGAGCGATTTCGCTCTTCAAAAGCTTGAATTACATGTACTGTATACTGTTCTCCCTGAGGGCCCTGCAATCATGTTCTTACCTCAGCTTTACTATTGATAAATGTACATTGTTCGTAGCACTAGATTATACAGCAATAATTTTAAACATTAGAAAAGGCACTAATCGTGAATAATTTGTCCGGCGAAGCAATTTGATTTTTTTTTTAGTTTTTAGTTTTTAAATATTTCTTGTTATTTGTAAGTCAGGAAATTCAAATTACAATGAAATCTACGGAAATTGAACCAGCACAAAAAGTACACTGAAACACTGAGCGATCTACAGTGTAGCTCTCAAAAGCTCCAAAATTGCACTGATAATTGACAAAGAGCTCTGGCAAATAAAGAATAAAATCACAGTAATATCAACTTCCAAAGAGCTGTACCGGGTATAGGTTTTTTTTAGTCCTGACCCACATGTACTGTAGCTTAGCTATACAGAGCAGGGAAGCAACAGCTGAAAAGTCATAAGCTTTTTGCTTTTATTTACCAGCAAGATTAGTTTTTAATCTTTCATAGAGAAAAGCATCTCATGGTCATTTCCTTAAACAATTTGAATAACACTGTTTTTCAATGTACATGTACATTTAATACTACATGCAGTGCACAGTGTATTTCAAATACACATGTATGGAATTACTTGAAAGTGTATGGAAAATGATATACCAAAAGGTATTCCTTTATTGGTAAAATTTTGTCAATAAATCCATTACTGACATTAACCTTTTCTTCAAATCTAAAAAGAAGGAAAACTTCATCTTCTTGTTCAAACAGTGATAGACCAAACTTTCTTCTTTTACTTAGTAAATTTGGCATGCCCCCTATAAAGTGGTATTGTAGCATTCTAGGCCTGTCCTCATCAGCCTGAGTTGGCCAAATAGCCTGCTATTTCTTATCCAGGAAATTAGCCAGCTCACAAATAGCCTGCTACTTGGCAGGGGAAGACGCAAATAGCAGGCTACAGTATGTGCTCTGGAAATCTTCCTAAGATATCTTGGGCTAGTTAGCAAAATAGCCCGCTATTTGTGGTCCATCTTCACCAGGCCGAAGACTTGCATATAGATGCATGAACACTGAACAAATTCTCGAGCTCGATTTTTCGAGCTGACGAAGATGCGATTTGTAACTTAATTCGGGCTAATTTCCCAGATCACAAAAAAGCAGGATATTTGGCCACCTTGGGCTGATGAGGACAGACCTTCTGGAAATAGGAGTACAAAAAACTTGACTCTTGAACAATATATTACAAATTCCTTCACTTCGCACTCTGTTCAAACAAAATATGACAGCCATACAGATAGTTGGTATCCTCATTGCGTGCCAAAGTACAATGTTTGCACTATACAAATAACATTTCTATTTGGTAAAAGCAGGAAGAAATATGTAAAGGAAATGGTATTTAACAGAATTACCTACATGTAGAGTAGAGAGAAAATGTAATGCTTATTGGCCCATGTGTGCATGTATTAAAAGCGACTCGGTATAACATTGCTGAAGGTTGATGAAAAAAATGTGAAATTGTTGTATGAAATGTTACTTATTATATTCCTTCAACGGTATACTAACCCTTTAACATGTAAAAAAAATTCTTAAAAAAATTCTCAAACCAGAAAGATATTAGTGGTTTTCTTTGAAGGCCTCACTGTGCGACACCCTCTAACAGTAAATTCTCCCAACCATTTTTGAATTTTCCCAACCACTTTCCATGAAATAAGGTAAAGGACAGGCTTTTGAAAATATTTCCACAATTAAATGT